AGACTCTAAGCTCTACGATATATATATATATATATATATATATATGGGTGGGTGTGTGTAATGGGACAGAAGGAAAAAGTAAGGTTTAATGACGCTTAGTAAAATATAAAGAATAAAGAAACAAATATGAATAAATGGCAGATTACTAAGTGGACAAAAGACATTAATTTTGGGAAACTTGCTGCTAATTCCAAGCTTACTAAGCAGCTATCTTACCTTTGACCTGATGCTGATTGGCTAACGCCCATGTCACAATTTCGGTATGCGGGTTAAACTGGGCCCGAGCGTTCGGCTTCCGTGAGCCCACAACCAGTGATGCACATTCCAGCAAACCTGCTAATCGAGCCTCTTCAGTGCTATGGCATATGCCAGGAAATACCGATCCGGAATCTGACCAAGATGCAGCTAGTTGGCGAGGGGGGGTCGCAAGGTGAGTGACTAGATTGGCAATATGTCGTGCAGAAGACACGATAAGCCGATAAAGCTGCCGATCGCGTAGAGGCTCCAGGCAAACTAGATAAACAGACCCGGTGGCGGACCAAGCTAGCGGATCCCTTTCGGCCTCATTATTCTGTTCTATAGATTTGTGTGTATCATTTAATCGCTCTTTGGTGAGTCCTGAAACCTCCCCTTCCTGATCCTCATGAACGTTAGTAGTAATGTCAGAGGCATTAGAAATAGTAAAATCGGAGACGGGGCTGGGTTCAGAGGATGCATAGTACACACAGACATCACCATCATCGCGAGTTTTGCAAGCTTCGAAATCTTCGGGATCCGTATTTTCGTTCGTCCTTTCGCTCATTTTGCATGTTTCATAATAATCTTTCTTGTAGCTCAGCTCGCTTCTATCTTCATACAAACAAATATCTTCGGCCAATGAATCCGTTGAGGACTTAACGACGTGTTTCGGAGGACAAAGGGAGGAATAATAGACGGCTAACCTCCGGGCAGCACGGATCAAATAGAGGTCACGAGCACAGCTGAGACGAGAAAACAACGAAATAGTTGAGGCGTCTGAAG